TTGATGAGTTCCGTCCAATGAAAGGTGCTGAGTGATGGTCTGGCTGTCTCCAAAGAACCAATGTAGTCTGTCATGGCTCCCCCGAGGGATGGTTGACTGACTTCCTGTTAGAAGCAGAATTCATATCACCCTGTTTATCATCCACATCAGTTTCTGATAAGTCAGCAAGCTTTTTTAACTGGGTGATTTGTCTCTGAGTTAGACAAGGGGCTTCAGTATTCATCTTACAAATAGCAACATCATTAGGCTGATTTATTGCTTGCAAATATGTCAAAAGATACACTGATCAAGCGTAAGGTTAAACTTTATGTTAATTTGTATACACCGTCTAGGAGAGTAAACACGTGTAAATTGTTTATGTAGTTAATTAAATCAGCAAGACAAAAATAGTTTTGGCTAATCAAAAGCCAGAAATTAACATGGTAATGACAGAAGAGGGAGTGCTGCTTGATTGACACCCATGTGACCAATATGTTCCTGCTGTTGACACCATCACTTCCTTTACTCACCAGTACAATGTGTAATAAATCTGACTATGATCTAATGAATGGTGATATCAATTCTTAATAACCATATAGAAATTAGGGTAATTATAGTCCTTGACCAATCATTAAAATAGTTATTTTCTTATTAAATAATTGATTACTTGAGTGGATCATAACCTGACAGATTCTTCTCTGTAGCTTCACCTCTACAACAGATTTACAATGGCCTGAAATCTGTGTTGCACCTGGAATCTCAAGGTTATTCTCAATGTAACAAGAACAGGAAGATGAGTTTGAACAGTCATTCTCAGCGTGATAAATTTAGACTGGAAAAGTAACAAGCCTGCTCAGTAATGAAACAGACTAAATTTTCTAAGAACCAGGACTTTGCTCAAAGTGCAATGAACATGGTAATGCTAGTCACTGTTGACACTTTGTTTCAACAAGCAAGATTAATGTTACAGTTGCTCAGCAGTTCAGGACTTGAATAACATTGAAAAGTGAGCTCTGTTGTGAAAGCATTTTGCCTTGCACTCTCCAGGATAAAACACAAGAATGTCAAATTTCAAGTGGTCATAATAGTTTATACTACGGGGAAAAGGTGCCGATTCGTTGATAAGTTGATTCCGATTGGCCAAGGCATTGCCATGGAAAAACCAACGGGGAAAGATAGGCTTTCCAAGCTCCCACATAATTGGAAAATCGGTGAGGCTTAGACATATTTCTTCTGTGACCAAAAGAAGGGTCCATGTTCACGAATGAATGTCAGAGTCAGAGTTGAAGTCATACAGCATGGAAGCAGGCCCTTCAGTCTAACAGATCCATGTTGACCAAGTTTTCCAAACAAAAGTAGTCCCATTTACTGCATTTGACCTATATCGCTCTAAACCTTTGCTATTCATGTACCTGTCCAAATGTTTTTAAATGTTGCTTCTAGCAAGTATAAATGAGGCTTATTATCAGCTTAACTGAGGTAGTGGGATCATGCCCACATTCTCCACTTTGGTTAGAGGCGGCACGGTGGCTCAGTGGTTAGCACTGCTGCCTCACAGTGCCAGGGACATGGGTTCGATTCCACCCTTGGGCGACTGTCTGAGTGGAGTTTGCACATTCTCCCCGTGACTGCGTGGGTTTCCTCCGGGTGCTCCGGTTTTCTCCCACAGTCCAAAGATGTGCAGGTTAGGTGGATTAGCCATGCTAAATTGCCCATAGTGCCCAGGGATGTTTAGGTTAGGTGGGTTAGACGTGAGAAATACAGGGGTAGGGAAATGAGTCTTGGGAATGCTCTTCAGAGGGGTGGTGTGGACTTGTTGGGCCAAATGACCTGTTTCCATACTGTAGGGATTCGATGATATTCTGAAAATACTTTTTATATAGCTAATAATACACTTAAGATTCTTCAGCTGCTGTTAGATGTTATTCTATAGTTGTACAGCACTTACCTGATTCAATGTCTCATTCAGAACATAGCACCTCTGAGTGTCAGCACTCCTTTAGTTCTGCACTGGATTATCATTGAGAGTTATATGCCAAAATCAATTGTTATGGATCAGACCAGACCCCCTCAAAATATATTAAGAAGACAGCATAGACACTAACTTTTTCTTATTATAAAGGTAAACATGAGGTGCTGTGTTTCAGATGCAATTTGATTAGTCAAACTATTCAACATTAAGCAAAACACATTTATTAAAACACTATAGTTAAAATACAACAAAATAAGTAAGTACTGTATTGGAAAACTTAGCCAAACAATAGATACAGTACATATTACTAATTAACTGTTCCAAAGCAGTAACATTCCATAAACACATCCTGTGGCAAAAGGCAAATTCAGAAAACAGATTGTTACATCTGCAGAGATAACAAGGTGTAGAGCTGGATGAACACAGCAGCCAAGCAGCATCAGAGGAGCAGGAAGGCTGACGTTTCGGGCCTAGACCCTTCAG